CCCTCCCCAGCCAGTTGCCAAGCCACTGCTTCGCCCGCCTCGTTAGGAAAGAGCAGAAAGTCCAAAGCCACACGCCACACGGCGCGCGAGGCTTCTGATCCGTACTCTGCCCCTGGAGTTCCACTGCCAGAAAAGCCCATCTCAGCACGAAGAGATTGTCCCTCCTCGTAGATCTTGGCCCAATTGGGAATCAAGCCAGTAGAGTCACACTGAGTAGCACCAAACATCTTGTAGGTCGTACTAATCAACTTGTTCCATCTGGATTCGAAGTTTTCTCCTTCCTGCGCTGTCTCACCGTACTTGACATCATGCGATTTCATGTAGTTGCGGCAAAGCCGGTAAACGCCAGGTGCATGGTAGCTGGGGTTCTGGCCCTGGCCACCCCAGCCGCCCCAGCAAGATCCAAGCTTCACGATACGGTGGTTGCCTGAAGATGATGAAACGGTCGAACTCATGTAGAACTGCTTGCAGGTGTCATACGCCCATTGACCAACCTCCAGGCCAACAAGAAGTGTTTCTTCTTCAGACGTTTCGTCAGATTTCATTTCGGACATCTGTGTCAATCGGTGCCTGGAGGACCACCGTTTTATAGTAAACATCGCTGTGCAGGACTATACTTGGGGTGAACGACGACTCTGCCACGGAAAAACACAAAGAAGTGAAGAACTTGGGGATTCTTACGCTTTAGGGACTTGCAACTGATTCTTGCCATTGCTCCATGGCAGTGTCCCAAAAAGCCACCACCAACAGCTCCATGGCATCGTCCTCCTCACGGCCCGTCCTACCAACACTCGCCAGCATCGGTGCCTCCTCGAGCCATCCGGGAGCTTCGCTCGACTGCTCCAAGGAGAGAACCGCCAAGAGCATCCCCGCCAGGGCATCGGCGTCTCCATCCGGGGCCGCACCCTGTGAATCAACACGGCTTTTTCTGTCGAGATGTTGAGTTAGGATCGGTCGCGACAGGGGTGGAGACTAAGCCAGGCTGTGGTTGGTGATCCGAGTTGGACCTCAAGTAGTTGAATACACAAGGTGTCAGGTGTCAAACAAAGACAAACAAACAAGAAACACGACATGGGCAGGTGTTTTTCTTTGGGGAACTATGATGAAACATGCGTCATCAGTAGTGTGTGAAATGAAATGAACAAAATCCGCACAAAACCGCAACCAGGACCCTGCGATGTGGCAAAGCCGCCCTACCTTGCCAATGATTCCGGTCAGATCATCATCAAACTTCCAGTGTGGCAAGCATGGAAACTGCTTTCCTCCGCATTGAAATCCTTCATCCTTGGCTGTGGGCCAATAAAACAACGCTTTCCATTTAAACAACGAATCCAAGGAGGGTTGACCTTTCCATCTCCTTCGTTTCTCATCACCTCCAACAGGTCTCTTTTGGGTTGGACCCTCTCATTTGGTGACCTGTTGGAGCGTGGTTGCCGTAAGCAGCTTCCATCACTGTCAGGTCAAGCATCCTCCTGACAGCTGCCATCTTGCTTGGAACGTTCACACATCCGTCGCCAGCCCAAAAACATCCTCAACAGGCGGAGCTTGGCAAACGAAAAAGACACATCTATTGGAGCGGAAAAGTGTGGATCCAAAAGGGGTGCTTTTTCCAAATGAAAGCATCTAGTGGATGGGTGCTACAAACCAATACCAACAAAAGATTTGTCAACTGGGGTAGTCATTCGATGTGCGTATATAAATACATTATGCAACACTATGTGTGTATATATATAATGTGGATCAACATCATCCCACAATTCTTGTTTATATTGTCCTCAAGCCATCCTCCACCCAACGATCCACTGTTTGTCAAGCGAGCATCTCGTAGGTGTAGTCCATGATCTTTGGCCGATCCGCATCATCGGGGTCCAAGCTCGCCAACATGGCACCAGTCAGTAGCAATCCATATCCTTGCAAAATGGGCAGAGCTGGGAGAACAAACACCTTCAACAGCATGGTCTTGACAGAAAGACATACGATCTATTCGCTAAGGGATACGATCTATTAGACAGGTCGAAGAACATCCCGATGGGTTTCAGGCCACGTTTGTTGGGCGTTTCTGGGCTAAAAGCCGACATATAAAATATGTACAATTACATCTTATACATAGACTAAGACCATCTAAGACACATTGGTTGCGATGGTCTCCCTATTCCAATTCGGATATACACAGTTGTATATAAACTAATATATATATATATATATACCAACAATTCCAACAGAGTGTGTACCAACCACCAGGTGGTTTGTGCGGCACACAACTCCATGGAACATCCGGTAATATATATATATACCTAGAACCTGAGTCTAACCACCTTCTTTTGGACCACCAACTGCCCAACATATCGTCCAACTTCCTATCAAAACAGAGGTCATGCCCGCATTGCAGGTATATAATATGTATATATATATATATCATGATACTCGCATCAATGGCTTGCACCAAGATTCCTTGGCTTTCACTCACCACACCACCGGCTGCTCCGCCGGATGAATGGACTGCACGAGCATTCGACCCCATGACCGGCTGGTCGGACAGGGCGTTGATGAACTCAAAGAGTCGGTTCTTGCCTGTGCTGATGACGCCATAGCCGATGGCGTTTCAAAGTGAAACATGAATCTGGTGTGTTTGGGAATATCTACAGGAAATCATTGGGATGGTGAAACACCCCAAAATCATAGAGGTTAGGTTTCCATAGGTTTCCTGTAGATGTTTCCCTAAACAAATTCTGGGAAAAGCCCTTGTTGGACCTTACTTTGGTCCTTGTTGGCCTATAGATTGGGTGGCATCAGCCTAGATACCTTTTTTAAGCGCCAGAAGCAGAAAGTGCATGCAATTTTTTCTAGAGGTGTTGGGAGTGGTGACGAAAAGCTCAAAACAAAAATATGATCAAAATTGCATGCTAGCAATGTTGTGGATCAATTGCAAGATACAAACGTGGTAATTAGTGACTCTTAGAGAATACATACATACATAAATGAAAACCACAACAAAGTCACCCATCTTCACTCCCCATTTTCATGGGTCTTGCCTCAATGATTTTCATAGATCCCTTGCGAACCCGAGAAAAACAAACAGGACGTGCTGAGCCCGCTGGGTGATGGCTCGATGTTGGACACGACCGGAAGCACCGATGGGACGATGGCTCTGAGAAGTGGCGCGTCAGTGATTTCCAGAACGCATCGGTGTGGGACAAAGGCGACGAAGAACCCACGTGGAGGGTCCCTCAAATCCCCATCCATGGGGTTTTGGCCGAAGGTCGCAACAACACATACAGTGGTCAACCAGAGGTTCGATGGCACAAGTTTAAAGTTACCCCGAGTGTGGTGGATTACAAGGACCCCCATGTAAAAGGACATCTTTGGGGTGACAGTGCCATCAAACCTCTGAAACCACTGTAAATCATCACCAAGTGAACTCTATGGAATTCCCAGCATCGCATGAATAGCTATAAAGACTTTGAGATGCTTGACAGCAGTTTGGATGATTGGTTGTATTCACATGACAGCGAAATCAAACGCCGTGTAACGCCTTCAGTGGCCAGCGCCTTCACCACAAGTGATGCGGTGCCGGAAGATACACACTTGAACACAAAAACTCACACACACACACACGAGAACAAAAACACACTTTGATGGGAGGAGGAACACACACTGAAACCTGCAAACGGGTTTGAGGAGTCCTCCCGTCTCCCTAAGCTCGATGGATATACTCTTCCTCCTCCTCCCCAAAAAAGAACGAGACATGTCACCCATGTCACCATGTTCCAAACCGCTTCCAAACCGCCTCAGCCTCCCCTTACCTCCAAGTGGCCTGATCCTACGGTGCCCGTCACAAAGATCTGCCCTGGCGCAGGGTTCACCACGGGCCCCGTTGGACCCGACGTCGTGGGCCCGGAGGATCCAATCCTTGGAGATCGGGAGTGCGTTCACCATTTCAGTTCGTTCAGTTGGTCGGTTTGGTGTTGTTTCTATTTGTTGCGGCTTTGGTTTCCTTTGGGTTGGTTGTTGGTTTTGTTGATTCCTTCCAATGATATGGTACTTTGAGATTCAAATGGAAGAGGCACACCGTTGATGGTGGCTTCACCAAAGCGGTCAAAGCACTTTTCCGTGCTGATCTGCAGGGATGCAGTGCAAAGAAAAACAACGCACACACAGCTGTATTTGGAAATTTGTTCCACTAAAAGGTGGGAGGAGTGTAGAAGCAAAACCGTGGAACAAGCAGAACAACACGAACACGTTGACACGTTGATAGTACTAACACATGATCGATATGGCATTACTAATTACTAATATATGCTATTATATGCTAATATATTACATATCTTAGTTATATATTATGTAATATGTTTATGATCCACAAATAACATCACATATACAAGTCAACCAAATCAGAACACCACTTCAGGAAAAATAACAACCGTTTCAGTCATCGTCCCCCTTTGATAGTTTCATTTCAAGACTCACTGTGCAGGTCCATGGAGTCGCATACTCCTGCGCGGCCGCCGAGAGAAGAACGTCAACGGTGGCACGCAAAAGGGGGCGTTTGCAGGTCAATGGGAAAGAGCGGGATGGCTCAAACGAGTGCGGGGATGTACATATTATGTAGATGTATCATGATGTATCATATACAATGAAGATCATATTATTTTTGGAAAGAAACATATGGCCCAAACACTCCACGGGACTGGAATATATGCCGCCTCATTGACCCCTGGTCACCCACAACATGTAAATATGTTCCATGTTCCATGAAGCGTCGGGATGAGTCCTGACACGCATCGATTCTCGATCCAATTTTAGGTCATCCATGGTCACATGATACTGGACAGGGTAGGTACGTACCGAGCAGATGTGGAAGATGGTCGACCACAAAGGTGAAAAGCCATCAAGCCCTAGGGATCCAAGTACCTTCTCAGAAGGTGAGCAGGAAGACACCGTTATGTAGGTGCCAGGAGGGTCCAAGTACCGAACCTGAGAAGGTACGACTGGATCCCCAGGGAAGGTGAATATGGGGCACGGGTTGTGCTTTCGAACTCCGAAGAGGCCACAGCTTGGGGGGGGGTGTACTCCGATGCCACTAGTTCCAGCTCCCAGCATCTCCTACAGGTGGTTGGGGATGATTAGATACGGTTAGGGCGCGTTTGCCTAGCAGGTCTATAACTACCAGGATCTACCAGGTATGAATGTGGGACAGGAGCCCAGCCTGGCTCCGGACCGCTTCGTTCGTGTCAAGAAGTGAGAACAGAACTGATCGGCAGATCCGGCTCGCCCCTCGAGAACTCTCTCCGCCCCCAAAGGATCGGAACGGCGTCGGAGGTCGTCGGTGTCAGTTGGGCAGCCACCGCGCGGCGCGCCATGTTTCGCCCCGTACCCGAATCGCTATCTTTATTGCGTGGGGTGGAAAGAGCTCATCAGGGATGGCCAGGTGCTTCTATAGGGTTCACGTTGGAAATGAAATCGCATGATTCTCTAAAGAGCACATGACAACATATCGCTAAACGATGCAAAACTCATCCAACTTCTATGGTGAAGAAACAAATCCCTACTCAAGCAATCCTTCTGTGCAAACTTCTTGATTGGAGTCCAAACTTCTTCAGTCCTTCCACATTTGACTCATATCATTCCCCACACCACCCGTCAGTCGCGCTTGTAAGTCTTGTCAACCCATCAGTCGCTCGCGCCGGTCCGGATCGTCGTTGGGGCTGACTTGGCCCGGATCACAGCTCTGCTGGCATGAGGCCCAATACTCGTTCTTCTCCTTAGGAAGCTCTGAACGTCCGACCCAGGAGTCCCACCGGAAAAAGCTTACGCCACGTTGGTCCGGACCTGGACCTGCTACATGGGTCTCGGTCCTCGCATTAGAAATAAACCGAAGACGAACTGAACCAATCATGGACGTCGTCACCTGTTTGGTCTGTCAAAATGCTCCTCCGAACATCGGGGGCCATCCACGGCCAGGCCCAATGCCATCCACGTCAGGGACGGGGCCTCTGGCTCCAAGCTATAGGGTACGTACTCACGCCCACAGAATCTCTGAAGCCACATGATGACAACTGCTCGTTTTCCTTCACCAACCAGTGATGACACAACTGTCCAATGTGGCAAACACGCAAACACTCGGCCCAACAGCCACCCACTCCGCCACTCCCTGAATTGGTTTCTGCGTGTCATAGCAGGTGTAGCCCGCATCTACGCAACATCCTGACGAAACGACGTGGATGCTGCGTGATGATCAAGTACTTGCATAGATGACCTATCAAACTCTCCTAGATGATCAACAAGACCGCAATTTCTGAACAGGTTTCCCCTTCCTTCACAAGTTTTGGGAACAAGTACCAGTGACATCCCCTTTCACCTGCGTTTTTGGGCGTTTTGAGTACCAAACTCCTGCACCGGTTTGGTCCGGATTGTCATCCTTCGCTGGATCGATTCGCGGCCGCGGAGCGGTCCAGCCAGCTTCTGGACTGAACGGGTCACCACGTGTTTGAATTGTTTTTTTTGTTCGTTGAAACTGCTTAACAAAGACGCAACAAACAGTTGTTAGTGCCATCAAGCTGGAAGTGCTTGCGGTTTACACTTCTTTTTTTTTTTCACGACAACGTTGCATGTTCTGCTTGCTTCCACCCAGCCTGAAGCGCGGCAATCCTCCGAGGATGTCGAGCAGCCCGCGCCTGACTTTGATCGGACGATCCGTGAAGGTTTTGATGGTCTTTGGTGGGACCCACAAGCCGATAACTGTATATAACCTTGGATCCTGGAACCTTGAAAAAAACAAAAACTGTTGGGATATAAATATAATAATATAATATATATATATATGAACATAAAATATCACCTTAAGCAAAAGCAGGTAACCTTTTTCGGGAGGTGATTTCTTTTTGTTCCAAAAAGAGCACCTCACGCACCGCGCCAACCGGCGGAAGCCGATGGTCCGATCCTCAAGACTCTTTCCATTCGAGGTGGAGAAACCACTGGGACCACATACCAAGCAATAAGAATAGCCTGTCGAACAGTCTGGAGATTCATGTCCTGAATGTCCTGAAGCGGCTTTGCCACAAGGGTATCCTTGTCCGATTCGAGGAAATGTGCCGGAGATCGTTGCATTAGTTCATCAGTAGTGAATCTGGTTGATACCAAAAATGAACCAGAAAAGATCGGAGAGTCCCCAGTATTGAGGTCCTGTTCATGGTGCCTTTTTGGTCGTTACCCCAGCTGCTGGGGCCCAGAATATGTTAAATCGCCCAGATTGATACGTTTATGTTTTTCATCTGTTTTGGCACCTCATCCAAAATTTGCGATAGGCTTGACGGTCTCAGTTTCACCGACCATCGACAAAGTGCATCATTCAATTCCATGTATATATATAGTTATATATATAACTATATAATTTAGTACCAGGACGCGTGGTTTCCCCAACCCATCAACCTGCCGAAGCCTGAAACGGCAAAGATCATCTGCCGATCCCTTTTGGCAGCTGTAAAATATACACGGAAAATTGAGAACCCCCCCTTCAAAGTCTCTGGTGTCAAAGCATGAGTCATAGGTCCTAGATGGTCCTAGGTATGAAAATGTTCGTCTCCCTACCAACCACGGGGGGAACACGCAAAGTCCAGCTGCTGGGTCGGTCAGCATCCAAGTCAGGCCGCCCCACGTTGTCCATGATGGACTACATATGTGTTCAGCTTCTTATCAGCGTCAGCCTCTCACCGATCTAAAAGATCCATTCGCCGTTGAAACAATTTCAACAACTAAAAACACACTGGCCCTCGTCCATGTTCGAAGAAACTATGTGTTCATCTACTCCGAGAATCTATATTCATGATAAATTCAAATTTGCAAATAAGGGTAATGTCATTTGCCATGCGAGTCTCAGTCTCTATTTGAACTCAGCGGCTCGTCTCCACTTGGAGTTTATTCCGATGCGCTCGGTTTTGCAGGAAGATGGACCCCGCGTTTCGGCCGCATGTGGTGGCATTTCGGCTGTCCTGCCAACAGCAGCAGGCGGTTTGTACTTTTTAGCGCGGAGAAGGTGGTGGTCTTGATGAGAGGACATGAGAGGGACTCAACATCTGTGACCACTAACTAATTACATGAGTGCAAACATCGAAAAGAACATAAACAACGTCCGGCTTGGTTCACATCGACTGTTGGGTGTGTGTCGCTTCAGCACAAGTCATGCCTGTTACTGCCCGGCGACTCCGTCGGCAGTGACTCCTTCCGTCTGTCTTTGAAGGAGAACGACGCGCCTGACACGGCCGGCCGTCCTGTGGACAAGCCTGGTCGGCCTCGACTGTTGCAGTCACTAAACTGGCCGTGCTCAAAAGCCTTGGCAGTGACAGGTGGTAGCTACACCAGAAAGTCTGGCCCTACTCTTTGGTGCTTGGATCGAAGCGAGCCTTTAGGAAAACGGGTTTGGACTTTAGATTTAAGGATGAACAACTCAAAAGGGAACAAGTTCTTCAAGGAGCAGCAGTTCAATGTTGGAGTGGTTCTTCGTCCCCATGTTCGCGAGTTCCTCGTGGTTTCTGGAGGGCCCCCATATCTGGCACGGCCCCTCCTCACATCTGGCACGGCGACAGGGAACTCCTGGCACCTTGTCATTCTCCCAAGAATACCATCAATGTGATACCATTCCATACCCTTCAATTGGTCACATGGTGTTCCGCAAGAAGTTTCACCAGAAACCTTCGAAACCATGGCACACGGAGTGCTTCATCATCTTCATCTAAACCATCTAGACAGCCGAAGCTCACATGTCTTCATTCTGCATGGTCGTTGGTGTGTTTCTTGGACCCCTTTGGGATGGAGGAAGCCACATCCAGCGTCGCGTCGCGTCGCGAGGAAGCGGAGATGGACGAGGGGAGGGTCCGGGTGAAACGGGTCTGACGTTCGGTGGTGAAACTGGACCGCTAAGTCAAATCTATAGCTCGAGGGATCCAAGCACCTTCTGAGAAGGTGATTGGAGACGCTGTTACGTAGGTTTGGAGGGTCCAAGTACTTTCTAAGGTATGTGGATCCATAGGGTATAGTGGTTTGAGAGTAATTATAGATGGCACAATCCCCACCCAAGTTTGGTGTTATTTTTGGTGACCCCCATCTGATGAGATTCTCTTGGGATGCCAGTGCCATCTATTCTGAAACTAGTGTATACGGCCAAACCAAAAACGTAAGCTAAACGAGCAAAAGACAATCGATATCTGTCAATATATTGCTTATATAAGTTGTACATGGTAAGCCTCAAGATCACAACGTAGTGAAGTTCTGCGCAATGTGCCTTGTAAGATTAACCCCCTTTAAGCCCATGCAATCTGTAGCACTTCAGGGTGACCGACATGCACCACCACGGAACCACTATCCTGTTCCTTCAAAGCCTACCGAAGACGTTCAAAGCCTACCAGGGAGATTCAACACCTTCAACGTCCGAAACCACAGGCTAAAGCTTCAACCAACCCATGAGCCATGTCTACCAGGTAAATCAAAGCCAACTTTCCAACCCCCATGTGAACAGTATCTACATGACCAGTATCCTACAGTTCTACAGGTCCTGTTACTGTTTGAGGGACCCAGTCGCCGGATGTCTTGAGCGAACGCTCACAAAACACCTCCAAATGGACACCGTCCTTGGCCAAGTGGCTGTAGAAAGCTGAAAACCCTCATGGCTCCAGCGCAAAAGGGGACGGCTACAGATGATCGGTTGTTTGGCTGAGCCAATGGCCATGTGGGACAAATCGTGTGGGATCAGGGTGAGACTTGCTGATCACACCTTGGTATTTCGTTGCTCATCAATTGGATGCTGAACCCTTGAAGACTTGACCCTCAAAGATGAACGGTCTTGTCACCCAGCAGAAAAAAAATGATTTTGCTGTCCCCTTTTTGCAGGAGGATTGCAAAAGGAACGGTTCATCGGCGGCCCCCAAATGCAAGGAACGTTTAGTGATGTTTAGTGAGTTCCCATAGAATTATACAGTCATCTTGCGAGTCCGGCCATCCCCAAACACAGCCTCTTCATTGGCAATCATATCGAATGACCATTGAATGACCATATAGAAGATTTGGCAAACTCTTTTCCAACCACCAAACGCTCTCCTTCTGATCCTTCCCTCCGCCTCCAAACTTGGCTGTTGGTTCCAAACAAAGCATTGATGAACAAGAAGGGTCCAAAGACCAAAGAACAAACCACCCTCGTCCTTCTTCACAGTGCTTCTCTTCTTCCAGTAACTCTAAGGATCACCAATAGGCTCCGGAACGGAGGCACGGAGGAACCGACGGAGACCGAACACGGAGCGCCAACCACGGCGCCTCCCTTTTCCCGGTCCAAGGAGGGAAGGCTCAGGCCGCCAAGGAGGTGTCTTTCTTCAACAGTTTTACTCCAAAAAGCAATCAATTTAGGCTTGGTTCGAGCAGCACAAAACTTAGATTCCATACGGAGCGCCTTCCTCTGAAGTGAGCAAACCATAGGTGGCCATGACCTGAATGAAACAAAGCACTCCCTGGCAGATTCAAAAGACGTTGCCGCGATAAAAACCGGTTTGATAAGGCAAACACAAAACAACCTGTACCGTATACCAACCACCCAAAATGTGACTTTGTCCACAAAAAGGTGTCCAATCAAAAAGTTCCAGGTCAAAAATATTTTGGATAGTTCATGAACTTCAGTCAGCCTGCAAACCATCGTGCAAACTCCTAAACG